ACCAACCTCTCCCTAGCTCTGAGATGACAGAATTTTGCAAATCCAAGAAATATAATCCTCAAAACCCCAGAATACCTCTACCTAAGGTAACTCTGTGGCCTCCTCCTGAGCCGCTTACCAGATACTGATGAATCATAATTCAGGTTGTTCCCTATACCCACAAGCTTCCTTTATGAAAGGAAACTTTGTATTAGATGGAACTCATAGTAATCCACACTGCATGCTATTAACATCATCCAGCACAATTTCTGCTTTCTCTGCTCAACTTCCTTTCCTATATCCTTCTCAGTGACTTTCTGGGTTTGATAGGACCTGGACAACTACTCTTGCTGAAATTTGTTAAACCGATTTTTGAATGTTATAGCAAGGACTAGACGCACCAATTTAAAACCTACGTAGTATAACAATAACTCCAAATGAACAAGTTTGATCAATTATTTTATTTTACGAAATTCCAAGAATTGAAATGTGGGGATTTCCTTGCCACTCCTTTGCTCTACAGATAAATAAAAGGAAAAGTTTGCTCAAGGGAAATATATAAAACGTTTTTTATTTGTTTTGCTTTGGTGGGGGAAGAGAAAGTAAATCAGGAGCTAAAAATTTGGAGTTTTCACTTTCTGTTTCTTCAGAAATAATCAATGAGTCCACAGTAACAGAAACAGTTTGTTCTAAATTAAATAGACAAAAACACAATTCCTCTCCAACTTCACCATTTTTTTCTCTCTTCATGTAACTGTCTTGGTGATGCAGTGTCTAGACTTCTTGGAAGAAGTGATGGAGTCTGGAATTTATTCTGTGGGTTTGAAAATGGCTATTTGCGTCTCCTACATACTTCTATGTGAAAATCCAGTGCTTTCAGAATATGTAAAAATCATTGAATTGTTTACCAAAAATGAAAACTTATCCATGAATATCACAACTTTAAGCTGCCACCAACGGGGAAATATTATATGGATTTATCCATTTTATCTACATCATCTTATTGTAATATGGGTCCCATCAGCCATTATATCCCCCCACAATGCAAAATAATGTGTACTCATGAAAGAATTATGGAAGACATTTTCTAGCTTTTGAGAAAAACCAGTAAAATAAATTAGCCTAAAGGATAGAAATCCATTCTTGTTTTGGTTTTAATAAGTAATTCACAGAAATTTATCAACTCAAAGGGCAGATTTTTTTTATATCACAGGTCCTTCTTTAGGTTTTTGTCATTTATTAGCTGGATGAAACGAAAGCAGTCTTAGGCACTGAGATCTAAACCATGTTTGTACAGCCTGCATTGTTAAGTCTGACTGTAGTTTATCTTTGCTCTTAAGGAAATCATACTGTATGCTTAGAGAAAGTTCAGAGTTATTTGTCACCAATTACCTAAAGCTGAGAGTTGATCTTACACATAGCTGTAGCCATTTCCTGTAAGTTCTTGTGCGTTATTTTACAAGGCTGTCACTTCTTGAGGCTTTACCCTAGAAAATATATGTCTACCACAGAAAAGTTTCATTGCAAACGTTTATCGAGAGATAATAGCCTTACGGGGTATAAAACTCCATAGCATTGACTTGTTTAAAATAAGCCTATCCCTAATTTTGAAACAACATTCTCCAGCTCTATTAGATTTTCTGTGACACCAAAAAAAAGAAGAGCAGCCAGAAGGGCTTTTTTTTTTTTAATTAAAAAATACACATACACAACACATTGAACTGAGCTGATCTCATTTATACTATAAAATCTCTATTAGTTCTGAAGAGTAGCATAAAATTAAATTATAAAATAAGTTAAGCACAAGGGGTAGCCTTTCTAGAAGAAAATGAGGTATTCTGAGTAGTGAAAATTTTTAAATCTATGGAAATTAAATGACAATAAAATGTTTAAACCAAGGCACTATTATCCTATATTTAATTGAAACTCCAATTTTAAAGTCTATTATTTTTTAAAAAGTTGATATTATTCTGCATGGTAATGATCATAAAAGCTCTTAGGACCTTAGTTATTTTATTTCAAGGGTACTGAAGTAGACTGAAAAGTGGGCTGAATCTTGTGTCAACAGAACTGGAGTTATTCCAGTATATCTCAGTTTCTCAGTCTGTAAAATGGGTGAGCCATACTGCCTAACTCACAGCATTGTTCTGAAGAGATAACTCAGAATTTATGCTATAAGCAGTTCAGTTTGGGCCACTTGCACAACTTCATTGAATGCCACAGAAGGTATGAAGATTTACTGATTTTACTGAACAGGACACAGATGGGGTTTTGAATAACTCAGAGTCATTTCAAGAAGCTTTAGCTAAGAATGACACAAAATGCTTTTCATTAACTACACTGCTTGAGAACTCTAGTTTGACAGGAGAGGTCTAAAACTGAGGTGGATTCTCATGAGAAGTCGTGAACGGTGCGACGTGTGGCCCCAGCCCACGTCCCTAAATCTAGTTCACAGAAAGGTCTCCTTAGCGATGCAGACCATGGAGCAGGGGTGGGTCGAGCCGTGTCCAGTGACATTGTCTTATGTCGAGGAAGGACACGCACGCTCACTGATGACAATTGCAAAGTTTGGAATTACTAACTCAGGAATAGAAAATACTCAGATCAGTGAGGGAGCATCCTTTTACTGGTGTATTATACACCTTGAAAAACCATGACCAAAGGGGAGAACGTGAGCCACAAGAGCATTAACTCTGTTGGTGAAAACACATTCCCACTTGCTACAGATCTACTAGGACTTTTGATATTCAATTAAAGAAACCTTTTTCAAAGTATATTCTTGAGAGTACTAGTTTTAAGCAAAATCAGTAGGTGCTACCAAAAACAGTTTTAGAAACACTGATTTTAAATCTCCTTTAAATAGGCTTCTGTAAAACCTGATTTCTCAGAGTTTTAAAATTCTATCTCTATAGCAAAGAGGATACATTGTGCAGCATTGCTCTGGAACACAGAAAGCTTTTTTCTCAGTTGAGCTAACATTTTAAAAAAATACATTGTAGGGAATACTAAATTAAGGGATGTTTAAAACCTGTATGACCTGTCTGAAATGGCCAAGAAACTGTTATCTCCAATATACTTTCTAGAGCAATTTTGTTGGCAAAGCAGACACCTGCCACGGGTACTAGATATGAAATAATATTTGCTGAAATGTGACTCCAGAGTTCTGTACTTATTTGAAAAATTGATAGCAGTTGGATACCTGAATAATCATTGTCTGCTTAAGGACACAGGGTAATGATGAGCAGGGGGGGGCTAAAGTATTTGTTTAAAGGTTATACAAACACTTTATAGGGGTGGGGAAATTGATATCTATAGAGAACTCAGAATTATTGACAGCTAAGAGGCATACAAGATTTGTAATTGGAAATGGAAGGCTTTCTTCTTGTGTCCTTTTATTCAGCCATTGAACAATTATTTACTAGGTACCAGGCATTGTGTGGAGTGTTGGAAGATGCAGAGACATGTAACACTTGGTCCATGCCTTTAGAGAGATGAGAGTCTGTACAATTTTAATAGAAGAGTGATGAACACTCTGGGAACACAGAGGATGGGGCACAGAAACCTCTGCTAATTTTCAATTATGAAGCTAAGTTAGTAATATCCCCAATCCTTGCAAACAACTGCCCTTGGTACACATTACAAGGCTGTTTTTGTACACATAGGAATTGCACACAGTTGTTATCAGCAGTAACACATGGATTACAGGCAGCGGTTTGGTTTGTTTGATTTAGTGTTGTTTCACTAAGCCTGTCTCTGTTTTTAGCAAATAGATGTAGTAAGACAGTGCTTAGTTTAGGATGGAGAAGCACTTATCCCAGAGTTGCTTTATTGCTATATTTCTCTATGAATAGTAAACAACAACATCTGATGAATCAATCTCCATTCAGATATTTCCCTCGATTCAGAATTATCATGCCTCTTGGATACTGAAAGTACCGATCAATGCACAACATTGTAATTTAGGTTTTGCATATTTATGCATGGCCTTAATACATGAACTCAGCAAATTTAGAAGAATAAAGAATCATGGGCTTGTAGTTTTCCATAAAATGTGTTCCTCTAAAGCTTTGTGTATTGAGAAACCTTGTTTTCATTAGATGGTTCTGGTTCTGAAATTTTGTGATGTTCAAGTTTAGAAACTCAGAAATACAGTTGATTTCATAGACGATTCCATTCTCAAAGAGTAGAACTTTGACTTTTCAGGGGGTATGTGTATTACAAATAGGAATATGGGTCATGCTTATGCTGGTGGGCATATAATTTTTCTGGGGCTTCCATTTTTCGTTGCCAAAATACATGTTATCCCCAACACACATTTTACTGACTACTACAATGTAGTGAAGAATGATTGGACTGTTGTATTGTTCATCTGGATGAAGAAAATTTGGAGAATTAAAGGAGTGGAAAAGGAAATACAGTGAAATGAACATGGAATAGGGGGAAGGAAGAAAAGCAACTTCAACATTATCTGGAACACTCTATTTCCTTCATATATAAAAAAGTGATCAAATGACAAAAATGATAACATTTACCTATTCTGATTGTTGCTAGATAAGTATTTCTTACATTATTCCTCTCTTTTACGTTAGTTAGAAAAGAAATTATTATTCACAATATAATGATTCATTCATTCAACAAATAATCTGTTGAGAGCCTACTATGTGCTAGCAATAAAATGGAGAAAAAAACAGACATCATCCCTGCCCTCCTGGCATTTGTGTTTTAGATGTGAAAGTGAAATGTTTGGGAGCTGATGTAGAATATTCAAAAGGACAAAATGAGGGGATGGGGTGAATTAACTTTTACTGACATCGGGGAGGTGGGCTGCTGTTGGTACTGAATCAGTAAGCGATGACTATTCTATGCTGATAGGAACTGCAATATTTTTGGTCAAAGTAAAGTTTAAGTTTCATCATGCATTGGTTGGGGGGGCCACACATCGAAAGCAGTCTTGTGTGATATCACTTTTCTCATTGGTTGCACGCCCAAGTTCACCTGCATTTTTCTTTGATTCCCTCTAGTATATGACTGCCGCCGCTCCTATGCAAGGGACCTACATTCCCCAGTACACGCCTGTGCCTCCGACAGCTGTTTCCATTGAAGTAAGTCTGTCTCTTCTTACAGAACAAGGTTAGGGCAGATAAATCTCAGCCACATGCACTGGGGTCCACCATAACCCCCAAAATCCTTACTTGTGATTTTTGTGCTACTTGAAAATTTGAAGTTGCAAACTCACTCTGTGAAAGTACGTACTTTACTTGAACATACCTGTGTTTTGCTTTGCATATGACATAAGCAAAATTCGGTATCCCGGTCTGAGAGGAGTGCCATTTTTATGTTTAGAGAAAAGATCAGAGATCAAATAACTACCTCATCAAATGTTAGCCACAAACACTCAGAAAGAGGAAGGCAAACATGTGCAGCTATTTGAATGAGCTAGTTCTCTGATGCCTTGTTTCTCCAGTAGTGGTCCCTAGACCAGCGTTATCAGTATCACCTGAGAGCCTGTTAGCAATGCAGATTTTCAGACCTCACCCAGATCTACTGAATCAGAGTTTGCATTTTAACACGATCCCTTAAGGATCAAGGTGCACATTAAAAGTTGAGAGGGACTGGATTAGAGAACTGGTTGTCAAACTTTTCTGCATATCAAAATTATTTTAAAACTTAATACTTTAAAAAATTGTGATGCCTAGGTCCTATTGCCAGAGAGTCTGATGGGGTCTAGGGTGTGGACTGGATACCAGGATTTTTAAAAGATGCTAGGTGATTCTAATGTGTACCAAAGATGAAGAACCACTGCTCTTGCCAGTGAACCTTGACAGGACTGTGGCATCCTACAGACAAGAGAGAAAAACTTCTACCACTCATATTCCTGTGGATACTGTGAAAGATAAAGTCGTATTTTCCTTACTAGAAGCTTTGTCCCTTCCTTCTCTGAAGGGCTGAATCCATTTCCTCTACACATTATTTTACTGGACAGAGCCAGCAAGATACATAGGAAAGGAGTGGGGCATAGGGCTCTGCGGATGGTGGTAAGACACTTAGAGGTGTATACTTCTCTCTGGTTCTAACCATTATTGTTTCTTGCCCCCCCCCTTCCCCTTCTCCTGATGCACATTTGCCATTATGGTCACAGTGCATTTCTTCCATCAGTTGGGACTCCTCTGGAGTTCACGCCATTGCTACTCCATGAGTTGGCCAACCAACTCATGTTGGTACCACTCATTGTGGGAGACCACCATGACTCTTCCAACCTCTGGAGCCACAGAGATTGGGTGAGATCTTTACAGACCAAATTAGATCTTTTGAAATGTTTGTTTGTTTGCTTGTTTTTAGTGTGTGACAAATATTTGCTCGTACCAGGGTTTGGGAAGCACAGACATTTAAGAGGACAGTGTCCTGTCACTTAGGAAACCAAGGAGGTCCAATTTTTAAATCTTTTATGTGTTCCAGACCTATGGTTCCCAAGGAATGTTTCAGTATTAAAGAAGTTTTAACTGGCTTTTCAGAATTTCAAGAATATGTGATTAAAATGTATGTTCTTTGCTATATTTAGCTATCAAAACCCATCTAGGCCATAAGAAAATTATGAATCTAGACATTGTAGGTGACTTTAAGCATAAATCTCTGCCACATATCCGCATTTCTCTATCTCTGGACCAAATGTGTGTGCTTATCTACAGAATCTGAGCTATTTGAGGACTATAAAATAAGGAGACACATTTGACGGTGTTGCTTAGTGGGAACAGTCTAATTATAGTTAAATCTGGGATTTAAAAAGAAATATTTCACTAAGAATTATATAAGTATACCCTGATATATTGCCTTGAATTTGTGCTTATAAAGGAAAGCACTGATTCATTTTCTATGTAAAAACACGCATTGAAAATTCACCAGTATCCACACAAATCAGTGTGGGTGGGAGGTTCATCAAAATGCATAACATCAAATAGTATATTAGGAAAAAAAAAAAAGATTGAATTCATAAAGGGAGAATTTTCAGATTCTGAGGAACAATTTCAGGGAGCTTTTGTTAGGGATAGGGAGTTGACCAAAAACCTATATCCCTGCAGAAGCCCAAGGCTATAATATAAGTAAAACCAGGAGAATGTATTCAGATAGATTCCCTCCTTAGGACTACTAACTACCAAACCTCTCTCGGAACCAAACACATTCTGAATGATGACCAACTCAAGAAATCCATTCTTGTTGGCAAAAGCCATTCAAATGGTAAGGGGAGGAGCAAATCAAAATTAAGGATGCTTGTTTCTTTCTTTCTTTTTCTGAAACTTCTAAATGAATTCCAGTTCACATCAAGGAAAATGAAAATAAATAAATAAAACAAATCAAATTGCTTAAGGGAGACCCTGCTTAACAGTGTCCTTTAAAAGAATTCCAAACTTGGATGTAGATTTTTATGAAGGTCAAAGTCCATTGTTTTGCCAGATCATAGAGACAGGGTAGACTACTTTATTCCCAGGAAAATGCTCAAATATACACGTTTTTATAGGAATTCTGCGTGAATTTTTTGATTAAGGAATCATTATTTAGTGTGGCTGTATGCAACCATGATTTAAAAGTTCTAACTATGGGCAAAATGCTTTCCTCATCATTTGACTGCTACAGGGTCTTCTGATGGCAAGGCTTCTTGGCGACACATTGAGGTAGATTCCTCAGCCCTTATCCAAATGTACTCTGTGGTTTTTCTTTGGGTTCTTGCTGTGGCTTTATATAGCTGAGTGCAGCTCTGCTCAAGCCATACGGAAGATGGGTATGCCCTACAGTCCATCTGCAAGAAGCCCTTTTGCTAAAGCCAATAAGACTTTTGTGTTCTTATTGCCTCCATAGGGTGTTGTTGCTGATACCTCTCCCCAGACAGTGGCACCTTCATCCCAGGACACAAGTGGTCAGCAGCAGCAGATAGCAGTGGACACATCCAACGAGCATGCATCCGCATATTCTTACCAACAGTCTAAGTAAGTTCAAGCCATACTAAACTGTTTCCCTCCAGGTCAGCCATCTGGACATTATTCTCTTATGTGGCATCTGCTATCTTTTGCTGCAGTACAGACCATCCCTAACTTAGTGACAAACATATATTTAGTTCATTATTCTGTGGGTTGGAATTTGGGTTGACCTCAGGTGAATGGTTCTTCTGATATTGACTGGACTTGCTTGAGCATCTGGGCATAGCTCCTGGGCATCTTCACAGTTCTGCTTCTGGGTGTTAGTTGTCTGATGGTTGAGTGATGGACACCAATGAGCCATGTATTCCTGACCCTCTAGCAGGCTTATTCCCATGGAAGTCTCAGAATTCAGAGAACAGCAAGAGAGGATGCCCAAATGACCAGCATTTTTTGAATTCTGTTTATGACTCATTTGCTATTGTCCCATAGGTCAAACGCAAGTCATGTGACCAAGCCCAGAGTTAATGTAGGAATTCACTACCAAAAGGCTTGGATACAGAGAGGGGCACCATAGACATTGTTACCAAAAAAAATTCTACCACACATATTTTTTGAAAACCTCCAATGTTCACACTTGAAACTGGATAGTGTGTCTGCATTTTGGTCTCAGTGACGTCATTCTTAAATGAAGACAGTAACACTCCCCTGGCAAGGGTGCTTCAAACTCACCCAGTAAAACAGTTTATGAAAAAGAGTATTGTTAAATATAAAACAACATGGAGTACAGTCTTATTGAGGAATTAAGTGGCAAAGCAAAAATCAGGGAGTCAGAATTACTACTGAAAAATCCTTAAATCACTGAGAGAGCAAAGTTCAGTTAGCTTTGTGTTGAGTAATTATGGAGATTAAAATTTGAAAGGTTTTGATTGAAACCAAAGGAATTAACAAAAGTTCAGTCTATATACAGATGTCTTGTCAGGCTAACTATTTTACTTTATAGGTAACAGTCAAAGCCCTGCTGAATAGAAAATTCCCAAAAGACTCTTCCTGTTTGCAGAGTGCTGTTCCATTTCTTGATCATCAGTTTTCTTTCATCTCAATACACATTTAGAGATTTGTTTGTTGTTGAAAGATTAATAATGGTAATGGAGTCTTCAGTATGTGCTTTAACTTCTAAAGTCAGTCCTCCAAATTAAATATGCTAGAACATGACTTAACCTTACAAATACAAGGTATTATTATTACTATTATTATTATCATTACTACTACTACTACTACTATTATCATTATTACTATTACACAATAACTTTCAGGAAATATCTGTAGTGAATAAGGCATTTTTGTTTTTTATTTGTAAGTTTTTTAATTTTTATTTTATATTGGAGTTTAGTTGATTAAAAATGTTGTGTTAGTTTCAGGTGTACAGCAAAATGATTCACTTATACATATACATGTATCTATTCTTTTTTCAAATTCTTTTCCATTTAGGTTATTACAGAATATTGAGCAGAGTTCCCTGTGCTATACAGTAGGTCCTTGTTTGTTACCTATTTTGAATATAATAGTGTGTATATGTCAATCCCAAACCCCCAATTTAGCCCTGCCCCCCCCCCACTTTTCCCCTTTGGTAACCATAGGTTTGTTTCCTAAGTCTGTGAGTCTGTTTCTGTTTTGTAAATAAGTTCATTTGTATCATTTTTTTAGATTCCACATATAAGCCGTGTCATATGATATTTGTCTTTCTCTGTCTTACTTCACTTAGTATGATAATCTCCAGGTCCATCCATGTTGCTGCAACTGGTATTATTTCATTCTCTTTAATGGCTGAGTAATATTCTGTTTATATATGTACATCATCTTCTTTAATCATTCATCTGTTTATGGACATTTAGGTTGCTTCCACATCTTGGCTATTGGAAATAGTGCTGCAACGAACACTGGGGTGCGTGTATCATTTTGAACCATCATTTTCTCCAGATATATGCTCAGGACTGGGATTGCTGGATCATATGGTAGCACTATTGGTTTTTTAAGGAACCTCCATATTGCTTTCCATAGTGGCTTTAGCAATTTACATTCCCACCAACAGTGTAGGAGGGTTCCCTTTTTCTCCACATCCTCTCCAGCATTTATTGTTAGTAGACTTTTGATGATGGCCATTCTGACTGGTGTGAGGTCATATCTCATTGTAGTTTTGATTTGCTAATAATTAGTGATGTTGAGCATCTTTTCTTCTTTGAAGAAACATGTATTTAGGTCTTCTGCACATTTTTCGATTGGGTTTTTTTTTATATTGAGTTGCATGAGCTGTTTACATATTTTGTAGATAAATCCCTTGTCAGTTGCATCATTTGCAAATATTTTCTCCCATTGTGTGGACTGTCTTTTCATTTTGTTTATGGTTTCCTTTGCTGTGCAAAAGCTTTTGAGTTTAATTGGGTCCCATTTGCTTATATTTGTTTTTATTTCCATTACTCTAGGAGACAGATCAGAAAAGATATTGCTGCAATTTATGTCAGAGAGTGTTCTTCCTATGTTTTCCTCTAAGAGTTTTATAGTATACAGTCTTATATTTGGGTCTTTAATCAATTTTGAATTTATTTTTGTATATGGTGTTAAAGAATGTTCTATTTTATTCTTTTACATATAGCTGTCCAGTTTCCCCAGCACCAGTTACTGAAGAGACTGTCTTTTCTCCATTGTATAGTCTTGCTTCCTTTGTTGTAGATTGACCATAGCTGCCTGGGTTTCTATATTTCTCTTTTTGTGCCAGTACCATACTGTTTTGATGACTTGTAGCTTTGTATTGATAGCATAGTCTGAAGCCAGGGAGGCTGATTCCTCCAGCTCCATTTTTCTTTCTCAAGATTGCTTTGGCTATTCAAAGTCTTTTGTGTCATACAAATTTTAAGATTTTTTTGTTCTACTTCTGTAAAAAATGCCATTGATAGTTTGATAAGGATTTCATTGAATCTCTAGATTGCCTTGGGTAGTATAGTCATTTTGACAATATTGATTCTTCCAGTCCAAGAACATGGTATATCTTTCCATCTGTTTGTGTCATCTTTGATTTCTTTCATCAGCATCTTATAGTTTACTGAGTACAGGTCTTTTGCCTCCTTAGTTAAGTTTATTCCTAGGTATTTTATTCTTTAGGGTGTGATGGTAAATGGAATTGTTTCCTTAATTTCTCTTTCTGATCTTTTATTGTTAATGTATAGGAATGCAACAGATTTCTGTGTATCCTTTTAGCTTTTGCTTGTCTGTAATGCTTTGGATTTCTCCATTGATTCTGAACAAGAGCCTTGCTGGGTAGAATATTCTTGGTTGTAGGTATTTCCCTTTCATAATTGTAAATATATAATGCCACTCCCTTTTGGCCTGCAGAGTTTCTGATGAAAAATCAGCTGATAGCCTTATGAGGATTCCTTTTTATGTTATTTGTTGTTTTCCCTTGTTGCTTTTAATAATTTTTCTTTGTATTTAATTTTTGTTAGTTTGATTACTATGTGTCTCGGTGTGTTCCTCCTTGGGTTTATCCTGTATCAGGATCCTGTACCCTGCATTTCCTGGACTTGGGTGACTGTTTCCTTTCCTGTGTTGGGGAAATTTTCAGCTATAATACCTTCAAATATTTTCTCAGGCCCTTTCCCTTTTTCTTCTTCTGTGAATGTTGGTGCATTTAACATTGTCCCAGAGGTCTCTGTAACTTTCATCATTGCTTTTCATTCTTTTTTCTTCTTTTAAATAAATAAATAAATTTATTTATTTATTTATTTTTGGCTGCATTGGGTCTTCGTTGCTCTGTGCGACCTTTCTCTAGTTGCAGAGAGTGGGGGCTACTGTTCGTCGCAGTGCACGGGCTTCTCATTGTCGTGGCTTCTCTTGTTGCAGAGCATGGGCTCTAGGCATGCAGGCTCAGTAGTTGTGGCTCACAGGCTCTAGAGCACAGGCTCAGTAGTTGTGGTGCACGGGCTTAGTTGCTCTGTGGCATGTGGGATCTTCCCAGACCAGGGCTCGAACCCGTGTTCCCTGCATTGGCAGGTGGATTCTTAACCACTACACCATGAGGGAAGTCCCCTTTTTTTTTTTTCTTTATTCTGTTCTGTGGCATTGATTTCCACCACTCTGTCTTCCAGGTCACTTATCTGTTCTTCTGCCTCAGTTATTCTGCTATTAATTCCTTCTAGTATATTTTTCATTTCAGTTATTATGTTGTTCATCTGTTTGTTTTTTTCTTTGTTCTTTAAATCTTCTATCTCTGTTGAAAATTTTTTGCATCTTCTTGGTCTATACCTCCATTCTTCTTCTGAGGTTTTGGATCATTTACTATCATTACTCTGAATACTTTTTTCAGGGAGATTGCCTATCTCCTCTTCATTTAGTTGTTCTTGTGGGTTCTTCTCTTGTTCCTTTGTTTGCAACATATTTCTGTGTCATCTCATTTGTCTAACTGTTTGTGTATGTGGTCTCCTTCCCACAGGCTGCAGGATCATAGTTCCTCTTGCTTCTGGTGTCTGCCCCCTGGTGGGTGAGGCTGGTCCAGGGGCTTATGTAGCCATCCTGGTGGGAGGGGACTGGTGCCTGCCCTCAGGTGGGTAGAGCTGGCACTTGTCCCTCTGGTGGGCAGAGCCGTGTCAAGGGCTGTGTTTTGAGGTGGCTGTGAGCTCAGTACGTCTTTAGTCAGCCTGTCTTCTGATGGGTGGGGCTGTATTCCTATCTTGTTGGTTGTTTGGCCTGAGGATTTACAGCACTGGAGCCTGCAGGCCATTGGGTGAAGCCAGGTCTTTGTGGCATAATGGGGACTTCCCAGAGAGCTCATGCTGATCAGTATTACCTGGGACCTCTGCTACTGGTGCTCCCACAGTGAGCTACAGCTGACCTGGCCTCCCCAGAAGACCCTCCAAGACCCCTAGGTAGGTCTATCCCAGGTTCCTATGGAGGTACTGCTTTGTACTGGGCCCCAGTGCATGTGGGATCTTGTATGCCTTCCAGGAGTGGAGTTTCTGTTTCCCCCAGCCTTGCAGAACTCCTGCACTCACGCCCCACTGGGTGTCAAGGCTAAATGC